CTGATAAGACGAGAAATTAAAAACAAAAAAACCAAATAATTTTTATAGATAAGTGACTTCACAACTGTTAAAAAAAATTCCTATTTCATTCATTGATTTTAACGAGTCTAAAAAGCTCCCTGAAGAATCTCAACATATGAAAAGCAAGAATTCCAACAGCAATTGTTTGTTCCTGAGAACAGCCTGAGATCAACAACAAAAAGCTCCAAAAACTCCAGGCGCAACTCTCAGAGTAAAAAGAGAGTAATAACAAGTAAAACAAACCCCCCTAGATCAGTAATATACCATAAGACAACCTTAACACGTCTTCAGAACTGCCTTAAGCTTCTCCCACGGCTTTATACGAAGCAACATCGAGAGCTATAAAAAGGAAAATTCTTGTTGGAAGCACCTACCATTATAGTTAAAATCCCAATTATCTTCTGTCAACTCAATCAACTTCAACTTCATCGCAAGCGAATTAAAATGAACTGAAGTTTACTACCCCTTTTACACACGAGTGAAAGCACAAACAAGAAACAACAGGTCAGGAACCCACACACAAGGCTAGGTTTGGAAGAACTAGAGTCAGAGAGCGAGTAAAGATCGAAATTAAGTTCATACCCCGTTTCCATTGGATGAAACACTGGACCTTCCGGATCCGGTTGAAAACCCAAATGAGTCACCGCTTAACCGTCGTCGATTCGCTAACCAGGAACGCATTCCGGCTGGCATTGGCGGTGGCGGAATATGCGTCGGGATTGGCAACAGTGCGGGAATAGCAATTGGATGTATGAGGACTTTCCCATCAGCAAAAAATGGGTAGGAAATAGACATCCGAGGTAGCTCTCTAATCACACTTCCTTTGATTCCTATCTACTTGGGCTTTCTCTTTTTAGTTTTATTTTCCCTCTGTTGCCTCCCTTCTTCCTTCCTCTCCTTTTTTTCTTTTTGTTTTTTTCTCCTCTATCTAAAGTTGATGGTAATAATAGTGATGATAATATAATTTTATAATAATAACAATGACAATAACGACAAAGATGGAAATAAAAATACCAATAATAATATTAATAATAATAACGATAATAATACTAAACACAACAATAATAAGTGAAGTAAAAATAATAAGAATAATAGTGACCATGGTAGTGAAAGCGGTAATAAATAACGCTTATAAATAATAAATTAGTTAATTCCCTCTGTAACAAAGTCATACGTTCATCTCCTAAACAATAACGATAACAGCGATGACTGCGGCAACAACAACAACAACAACAACAACAACGACGACGACAGCAGCAACAAACAACGGTTAAGGACAGTAAGAAAAACAACTACAAACAACAACTTAAGCAAAGAAACTGCTAAAAAAAAGAAAATAAATTGCGAAAATTATTTGAAAAAGAATATAGAACTTTGAAAAAAAAAAAAAAAAAATGAA